TGTAATCCTTGTGAAGGGGTGTGTTTGCGTGTGTGTGTGTGTGTGTGTGTGTATACAGTATAGATTGATTGAATCACATAGATATGTGTTGTTGTTCTTACCACCTTTTGTTGCATGTAGTCTGAGTTCATTCATTGTGTTTCAGTTTGCTTCTGGACAGTTATCAACTTGCTAGCTGTTAACTTAATCAGAACACATTTTACACCTAAAGATAGAAATATCAAACTAATGGAACAATCAAGAAACGGAGAACGCAAACTTCCTGAAAAGTAGGACTCTTTGCTACTAGAAGCATGTTGTCATTGTGTGTTGTGCGTCCCGTGCCTTCATTCCCACACAGAGACTCATTCACCTTTACAGTCAACCCAATAGGCTGCTGTGTTATTGTTACACTGCTAGAAGGTAAAAAGCCCAAGCTACAAATCCGTAGAGACCAAGTAAAGCAGTAGCTCACCCTTTCCAGTGAGGACGTTGGGTTTGGAGGTCATCATTTTGAAATACTGTCTCCGGCAGTCCTCCATCCAGATCGCCTCATTCTTGGAGTCTTTAAAAGATGCCAGAAATGAACTCATCTCAGAATCTGTAAAATGAGAAAACACTATAAATAAGAAACCACAACATTTTACTAGTTGTTTTTTAAAATGTCATCAAAGTTCCTCTCACCCTATTCAAAAGCATTTGACAAGCAATTGAAGCCTGATCCCCTTGTGGCCATTCTGGGGTCCACAAGTGACACTGATCTGAACTATGGCAGTGACAAATGGCCGGTGTGTTTTGTACCGTTTTGGCTAAAATATGTATTTTTTGATTATGGAAGTCTGATGCTGTGTAGAGGTGAGATCCTCTACCTGGAGTAACTTAGATTCCAGAAAGCAGGAAGTGGGAGAGTGTTTGATAAGGCCTGGGCTCCAGTGTTAAGACACTTAAGAGGTCTGGGTGAGGATGAAAGTGTGGGATGAAAGACCAATCATGTTAATCCTGTAACCATTTTCTTTTGTTTTCAATTTGCTATGTACATTTTAATTTTCCTGATGTGCTCTCTTGGGTTGCCTTCTTGTTTCTAGCATGAATATTGCACTTCTTATTATCTCGCCCATGGATGTGTAAAACCGCCAATAGCCTAATTGTACTAGAATGTTCTGAATCCGCAGTTTTGTTGTTATTGAAAATGAAAATATGATTGCTTTGTTAAACCAATGTGGTTTGTACAATACATTTCTGCAATAAAAATATTCTTAAAAAAAAAAAAGTTCCTCTCACCCTGGGAGTCATGGTGGATCTTTGGTGGGTCCAAAGTGTAGCAGGTGGGTAGAGGGGAGCTTGAAAACATGGGCCAGGGGTAAGGGTCCTCACCCTGAAATAAGCAGATAAGGTATTCACTAAATACACCATAATGCAGTTATTGTCTTACATTGTTTCTGAGCAGCTCTGACTCATAACTGCTATGGGTGTTATGGATGTGTCAATATGTTGGATTGTTAGTTTTTGTTAGACTGATAATGAATTCATTACTGAGGATTGTCTAGCGCCAAGCTGGTAGCAGTTAATTAAATTATGTGTTTTTAAAATCAGTTTTCTCTGCGTAAATATATTTCTTCTGATCCATCTTCCTTCCTTTCTTAGTAATAACCCAGTGCCATATAATCTTGCATTCTTTACGCTTGTGATATCGTAGTTTTGAAGAATCATCTCTCATTTGAGTCATAACTCTGACGTGCCAGAATGATGTGCTCTGAATGTTAATGGGGTTTAGAAACAGGCTTGTTTATCCAATTGTCTGTGCTCTGCGCTCAGGGTAATCCCTGTTGGTATTTGAGTCTGCCTCTCAGGTGATTTCCGGCTCTCACAACGTTCAAAGGAGCTGCACAAAGCCATTTACATTAGAAGGGAGCCTTTCTTACACAGCTTTAGGACTCTGATGTAAGTAATCATTCTGGATGCAACATTATTTGAGGGAATTAACTTTGCCTTTTATTTCCCTAAAAAGTAAGTCATTACAAAAAGAAAATAGCACTTTCATAATGTTCCAAATGCTGCTTATCCGATACATGTGATTCAGGTGGACATGGTGAAAGTATTTCAAGCTATTTAGAAAGAAAGATATCAGAAACGGCCTTTTAAAATCCAACATGTCAAATAACTGAGTAGTCGGAGGGAGATATTTCAGATTATAAATGGGTTAGGGTTAGGGTTAGGGTTAGGGTTAGGGCTAGGGTTAGGGTTAGGGTTAGGGTTAGAAACAGCTATTTTCTTTTTATAGTTTTGTATAAAAACATGACCATAAGTCACCTGCAGCCTTACAGGACTGTTTAACAATGACATATTGAATATTTGAATAAATATAAAGTGAATGTTTTAGCATGTTTGAAGATGTGTCACGGCTGAATCAGTGACATTCATTGAGTTTACTTGTAGACTGTAAATATTCTGACAGACATGTTCTCATTTCAGGAATAAACATTGTGCTTAACACAATGATACTTCATTTCATTTCCCACCAAGTGATGATTCATCTTTCCATTTGTTTTGTAAATGTCTTCACACAATCAGTACTTATTTAACAGCTTCATGGTCCCTGTACTCCCCACAGGTGACAGGAGAGAAGAGCTGTGAAACACGAAGAAAACACTATGTTCTTCATATCTTATCCTTGACCTCAGCGTAAATTAGTTTCCAGCATCAACAACACGTAAAGAAGTTACATCTCTCCAGACACACTGAGTAAATAAAGCTGCAGGCTGGAGACACAACGAATAAAGCCCTGCTGAGGGACAGAAAAGAAACAGACAATTATCGTAGTTACTTTAATCAGTGGCAATGATCAGACCAACTGAAAACGAGTCACTTTGAAACAATGTAGTGAAACAGCGTGAGGTGTTAATGGGTTTGGCCTCCCCGGAATGATTCTCAGGAAAACAAAGGATAGTTCTTACGATTCGGTGGATCCTTCAGCTACTATTATATATACTAATGTATAAGACTAGTGTGATGTTTGTATAGCATTCAACTTGCTCAAAAAAACTTGATTGGACTCCTTTGTTTACTTCCTTACAAGAATGACATCACTATGTAACACTTGCACTATTGGCTAGCGCTCCAACACATTGTACGTGATAAGGGGCGGGACATGTTTAAGCGGTTGACCAATCACAACAGAGCCGGCCAGCTAACCAATCAGAGCAGACTGGGCTCTGGTTTCAGACAGAGGGTGAAAGGAGGTGCTGCAGCACAGGCAGTAAAATAAAGAGCTTTTTGAACATTAAAGCATGGAGACATGTCCCAGTAGAGACACACAATACAAATATGAAACCTGGAAATCAGCACATTGTGACGCACAGCTGACCTCTTGCAGTGCTCGGGGAGGAAGCTTCCTCTCAGACGGACCGCCCACCGCACTAACCCGAACCAGAACGTGATTCCTCTCCACTGAAAGGTTGTCTATGATGAACTCCCTGAGAAAAGTTTAACAGAAAGGAAACAAGATTAGAGAAACAACTTTACTCAGAATCAGAATACCTTTATTAGTCCCACAGAGGGGAAACGTGCATCGTTACAGCAGGAAAGAGCCACAGACAGCTTAATGTTGCATATGTTAAAAAATAAAAAGTACTAAGTTATGATATAATACAAATATAATAAAGAAATAAAAGTTAAAAAAAAGTTATATACTTTTCAAAATACAAATTTGGTCATGCTAATTATATACAACCCCAATTCACTAAACTGCAAAACTTCCTTGAGAAGTCTTCTAAAAGACTGATGAAGCATCCGAGTGATTATAGGACTGCTAGAAGACAAGTAAGACAAGAAAGAGAAGCTTTCAATGAATGAATATTAGATACGATCAGAGAGTATTCCAATTATAAAGGTACTTCAGGGTTGTAGGGTGTCCTTCTCAGTGGATAGTTATTATAGCTTAGGCAATTTGGAACTGAAATTGAGACTGTTATCTTTCAAACGGCCGCAAAATGTAATTGTCATACATTTCTTTGGGGATGAAATCACTCAAAGCTCGCACAGCATGGGTCAAATAAAATGCGGGATTGCCCTTACAGAGTAGTTTCGGTGAATTTGGGTGTCCCGGATATTGAAAAGGTCACAGCATAAAACATATAAAGAGCAATGGGGGAAATGAACGACTAAAAGATTTCATCAAAAATCAGATGAAAGAAGTACATTTTAAACATGATTAAAAAGGAGAAGTAGGAAGAGAAGAAAGTAAAGAGAATGTGATGTCTGTGATTATAATGGTAGCATGAAGGGAAGAAAGGGCTTTAAAGGTTGATGGGAGAATAAATTAACAAGTCATCATTCTCCAGGACTCAGACTTGCAATTTCAGTTTTGAGCCATTTCCATTCAGAACCAATAGCCACAGCTCTGCCAGCCATTATTACCGAATGAGAGAGAGACTCTTGAACAGCCACTTTCAGAAATGGGATTTTTACTTATATCATTATTTCTCTGACAAGGCAAACAAACAAACAAACAATTTCTCATCCCGAGCAATGATCACATTTGAAAGTGCTCCGTCACATCAGGGTGATGCATAGAGGAGACGAAAGCTTCAGTTGAAGGAGAGTACGAACAATATTGTTCTTGTTCAGTCTGTTTAATGTGGAAGCTATTGAAAAGTCTAAATGTCTTAAAGGTCCCATGTCATGCTTTTCCGGTTTTTACCCGTCCCCTTGTGTGTTATGAAGGTTTTTATGCATGTAAACGGTCTGCAAAGTACAAACCCTCAAAGTACACCCTGTAGCAGGGCCATTGGGAATACCGGAAAACTCCCGGTGGGCTGGTGTTGTGCGTGGGCCGGAGGGCCAAACAAATAAATAAAAATAAAAATATTATATAATATTTTTTTTTTGCCTAAATCCTACCGGCCCACATTTGTCAGTGTTCCGGCCACTCTCTGTCAATCTGGACCGAACCCTGTGTCCCATTATAGAAAAAAATTAAAATTATACAAAAATTAAAAATTTCTGATGTAAATTAATGTATATTTTCTTGTGTCTGACGCGTTGTGAGAATGAACGTGCTTATATATTTACTTGTGTGCTCGAGCGTGACACGCATTGCAGACCGCAAGTTAACCGCAAGTTTACCTTGACTTGCGAGGTTCGAGGCATTGGCTACAGACAAACAGTGCCATCTCTCCCACTAGTTCAAGC